GGGAGGCACCAGGTGTAGTCAGCCATGGGGGAGGTGGGATGGAAGGCACCAGGTGTAGTCAGCCTTGGGGAGGGGTGGGATGGTGTTAGGCACCAGGTGTAGTCAGTAGTCAGCCTTGGGGGAGGTGGGATGGGAGGCACCAGGTGTAGTCAGCCTTGGGGGGGAGGTGGGATGGGAGGCACCAGGTGTAGGTGGGATGGAAGGCAGCCTTCAGCCTGGGGGAGGTGGGATGGGAGGCACCAGGTGTAGTCAGCCTTGGGGGAGGTGGGATGGGAGGCACCAGGTGTAGTCAGCAGCCTTGGGGAGAGGTGGGATGGGAGGCACCAGGTGTAGTCAGCCTTGGGGAAAGGTGGGAGGAGGCACCAGGTGTAGTCAGCCTTGGGGGAGGGGGATGAGGGCACCAGGTGTAGTCAGCCTTTTTTTTTTTTTTTTTTTTTTTTTTTTTTTGGGGAGGGTGGGGTGGGAGTCAGCAGGTGTAGTCAGCCTTGGGAATTGGGATGGGATGGGGAGGCACCAGGTGTAGTCAGCCTTGGGGGAGGTGGGGGAGGCACCAGGTGTAGCCAGCCATGGGATGAGGGAGAGGTGGGATGGGAGGCACCAGGTGTAGTCAGCCACATGGGATGAGGGAGAGGTGGTGGATGGGAGGCACCAGGTGTAGTCAGCCATGGGATGAGGGGAGAGGTGGGATGGGAGGCACAAGGTGTAGTCAGCCAAGGTTGGAGGAGGAGGGGAGGCACTAGGTGTAGTCAGCCTTGGGAGGAGGGGGGGGGAGAGGCACCAGGTGTAGCCAGGGGATGATGGGAGTGCAGATGGGAGGCACATGTAGTCAGCCATGGGATGAGGGAGGGGGGCACCAGGTGTAGTCAGCCATGGGATGAGAGGCGGGGCATGGGAGGCACCAGGTGTAGTCAGCCATGGGATGAGAGGGAGGGGGAATTGGAGGCACCAGGTGTAGTCAGCCATGGGATGAGAGGGAGGGGAAGGGGGTCAACCTTTGGGGGAGGCTGCTGCAGTGGCATGTATGACACTCAACCGGCTTAAGAATGTACCAAACACTATCAGGGGGTCAAATATGAGACCACAGTTCGCTTTGTTCCAGTACCTCATTCCTCTGTAAACCTCAACTGGAGCTCATTAACACCTCTTTCCTGAGAAGTTCCAGGCAATGGGATGTGTTGTCCCTTTGTAGTCTGACTGTGTAAAGTGGTTTGTGGCTAGAGAACTGTTATGTTAGTATTGTATGACTCCTGATGATCTCTGATGAGATAACACAGGAATACAACTCCCATCACTGATATGGTGTTCTTTAACCAGATATTTTCAAGTGATAAATAGGCTGTCGCTGGTTATTGAGTCGTTCCCGGAGCAAAAGGAGGGTATTGTTGATATGTGTTTTTATTCAGTTGTTTCTGATTATCTGGCACATTAAGTACCAATCCGAAAAGCTCAGACTTGGAATAATTAATAAAATATATTCAAGTAGCTGACAATAGTCAGCATGTGTTCAATGATAGACTGTGTCAATGATGGTGTGGACAGAGGGTACTTGTTGTTACCCTGCCTTGTGCTTGGCATAAAGGGATAAAACAATGACCTGATTCAGCATACTTACCTGACGTCTGAGTGGATGTGTATTTGTAAAACATTTGTGTGCACCAACACTCAAGCACACACACTCACACACAGGCATGCATGCATGCACACTCACTCTCTCTCTCTCTCTCTCTCTCACACACACACACACACACACACACATTTATGGTGTTCTTCCATGACGTGTAATGGAGGTAACTGTCTAGCCCGATGTGTAATAGATGCAAACAGTAAGCTTCTTCCAGGCGTGGTAATGGAGGCACCGTCTAGTGGCGTAATATACCGGTGCTCTCTTCTGTATGAATTGATATGCAACAAATTGTTCTAATGTGTAATAGATGCACTGGTGCCCTTCCTTCTGAAGTGTAATGGAGGTACTGGTCTAGCCTCGACAGTAATAGATGTACTGGTGCTCTTCTTCTGTAAGTGTGTAATGGAAGGTACTGTCTGCGCCCGATGTAATAGATGTACTTCACCTGCCTTCCAGGCGTGTTCACCGTCTAGCCCCGGGATGTGTAATAGATGCAATGGTGCCCTTCTTCTGTAAGTGTGGAATGGAGGTACTGTCTAGCTCAATGTGTAATAGATGTACTGATGCTCTTCTTCTGTAAGTGTGTAATGGAGGTACTGTCTAGCTCGATGTGTAATAGATGTACTGGTGCTCTTCTTCTGTAAGTGTGGAGGTACCCGTCCAGCCCCATGCGTAATAGATGTAGGCTACTCCGTAAGTGTAATGGAGGCACTGTCTAGCCCCGATGTGTAATAGATGTACTGGTGCTCTTCTTCTGTAAGTGTGTAATGGAGGTACTGTCTAGCTCGGATGTGTAATAGATGTACTGGTGCTCTTCTTCTGTAAGTGTGTAATGGAGGTACTGTCTAGCTCCAGTACCCTCGATGTGTAATAGATGTACTGGTGCTTTTCTTCTGTAAGTGTGTAATGGAGGCACTGTCTAGCTCGGGATGTGTAATAGATGTACCTGGTGCTCTTCTTCTGTAAGTGTGTAATGGAGGTACTGTCTAGCCCGATGTGTAATAGATGTACTGGTGCTCTTCTTCTGTAAGTGTGTAATGGAGGTACTGTCTAGCCCGATGTGTAATAGATGTAACTGGTGCTCTTCTTCTGTAAGTGTGTAATGGAAGTACTTGTCTCAGCTCAATGTGTAATAGATGTACTGGTGCTTTCTTCTGTAAGGTGTGTAATGGAGGTACTGTCTAGCCCGATGTGTAATAGATGTACTGGTGCTCTTCTGTAAGTGTGTAATGGACAGTACTTGTCTAGCCCTCGATGTGTAATAGATGTACTGGTGCTCTTCTTCTGTAAGTGTGTAATGGAGGTACTGTCTAGCTCGGATGTGTAATAGATGTACTGGTGCTCTTCTTCTGTAAGTGTGTAATGGAGGTACTGTCTAGCTCGATGTGTAATAGATGTACTGGTGCTTTTCTTTCTGTAAGTGTGTAATGGAGGTACCCGTCTAGCTCTCGATGTGTAATAGATGTACTGGTGCTCTTCTTCTTTAAAGTGTGTAATGGAAGTACTGTCTAGCTCGATGTGTAATAGATGTACTGGTGCTCTTCTTCTGTAAGTGTGTAATGGAGGTAACTGTCTAGCTCGATGTGTAATAGATGTACTGGTGCTCTTCTTCTGTAAGTGTGTAATGGAGGTACTGTCCAGCTTCAATGTGTAATAGATGTACTGGTGCTCTTCTTCTGTAAGTGTGTAATGGAGCCACTGTCTAGCCTCGATGTGTAATAGATGTACTGGTGCTCTTCTTCTGTAAGTGTGTAATGGAGGTACTGTCTAGCCTCGATGTGTAATAGATGTACTGGTGCTCTTCTTCTGTAAGTGTGTAATGGAGGTACTACGTCTAGCCCCAATGTGTAATAGATGTACTGGTGCTCTTCTTCTGTAAGTGTGTAATGGAGGCACTGTCTAGCTCGATGTGTAATAGATGTACTGGTGCTCTTCTTCTGTAAGTGTGTAATGGAGGTACTGTCTAGCTTCGATGTGTAATAGATGTAACTGGCACTCTTCTTCTGTAAGTGTGTAATGGAGGTACTGTCTAGCTAATGTGTAATAGATGCACTGGTGCCTTCTTCTGTAAGTGTGTAATGGGGGTACTGTCTAGCTGATGTGTAATAGATGACTGGTGCTTTTCTTCTTTTAGTGTGTAAATGGAGGTACCCGTCTAGGCCTCAATGTGTGATAGATGTACCGCAGCCCTCTTCTGTAAGTGTGTAATGGAGGTATTGCTGTCTGGCGTAATAGATGTACCTGGCACTCTTCTGTAAGTGTGTAATGGAGGTACTTGTCTAGCTCGATGTGTAATGTATGTACCTCTTCTTCTGTAAGTGTGTAATGGAGGTACTGTCTAGCCTTCGATGTGTAATAGATGTACTGGTGCTTTTCTTCTGTAAGTGTGTAATGGAGGTACTGTCTAGCTTCGATGTGTAATAGATGTACTGGTGCTTTCTTCTTCTGTAAGTGTAATGGAGGTACTGTCTAGCTCGATGTGTAATAGATGTACTGGTGCTTTTCTTCTTCTGTAAGTGTGTAATGGGGGTACTGTCTAGCTCGATGTGTAATAGATGTACTGGTGCTCTTCTTCTGTAAGTGTGTAATGGAGGTACTGTCTAGCTCGATGTGTAATAGATGTACTGGTGCTCTTCTTCTGTAAGTGTGTAATGGAGGTACTGTCTAGCTCGATGTGTAATAGATGTACTGGTGCTCTTCTTCTGTAAGTGTGTAATGGAGGTACTGTCTAGCTCGATGTGTAATAGATGTACTGGTACTCTTCTTCTGTAAGTGTGTAATGGAGGCACTGTCTAGCTCGATGTGTAATAGATGTACTGGTGCTCTTCTTCTGTAAGTGTGTAATGGAGGTACTGTCTAGCTCGATGTGTAATAGATGTACTGGTGCTTTTCTTCTGTAAGTGTGTAATGGAGGTACTGTCTAGCTCGATGTGTAATAGATGTACTGGTGCTCTTCTTCTGTAAGTGTGTAATAGACAGAGGTACTGTCTAGCTCGATGTGTAATAGATGTACTGGTGCTCTTCTTCTGTAAGTGTGTAATGGAGGTACTGTCTAGCTCGATGTGTAATAGATGTACTGGTGCTTTTCTTCTGTAAGTGTGTAATGGAGGTACTGTCTAGCTCGATGTGTAATAGATGTACTGGTGCTTTTCTTCTGTAAGTGTGTAATGGAGGTACTGTCTAGCTTCGATGTGTAATAGATGTACTGGTGCTCTTCTTCTGTAAGTGTGTAATAGACAGAGGTACTGTCTAGCTCGATGTGTAATAGATGTACTGGTGCTCTTCTTCTGTAAGTGTGTAATGGAGGTACTGTCTAGCTCAATGTGTAATAGATGTACTGGTGCTCTGGTGGACATAAAGTCTGTGATTCGCTCACCTCGATCCAGGAAGAGAATATCTTGAAAGCATTAGTAGTACCGTGTCCATCAGAAAACAACCACCCTTGCCACACATCTTCTCTTCAGTGAGTTACCTAAACAAGACGTGTGCAAGTGGCAATAACATGTCTGTTTATTTACCTGGGAACATTCCGGAACACATCCATATTTCCTAATCTCCACCTATCTTGACATTTTGCTAAGTATAAGTGTCATGGCATTAGTAACCTCAGCAGGCTTTTAGTATTTTACATCATGTCAGGTGGAAGGTTGAAGGTACCCCTAACACTTGTGGAACACTTCCAGGACTGAACATGTTAGATGGGGCAGTCTTCCAGAAGTCCAGTGGAAGGAACAGTGATGATAAATCCTGTGAATCACCCAGATATGAGCTTCTGTAACGAAACTTTGTCTTCTAGGCAGAAAATCTGACCTTTAGATCTCTACATTATAAAAGGGTATGGTAGCGCAGTGGTTAGTGTATACTCACTCACTCACTCACTCTCTGTTGAACAGAGGAACAGTTTGTAGAACAATGGTTAGTATGTGCCCTTACACAAGAACAAGATTTGATTCCCTAAACTGTCATACACTAGGGCGGTGGGGTAGCCTAGTGGTTAAAGTGTTGGCTCGTCTCGCCGAAGACCCGGGTTCGATTCCCCACATGGGTACAATGTGTGAAGCCCATATCTGGTGTACCCCGCCGTGATATTGCTGGAATATTGCGAAAAGCGGTGTAAAACCAAACTCAGTCAGTCAGTCAGTCATACACTAACTCTCTACCATACAACTAGAAGAGCAACTTACTGTTGGTAACCAGAGTGAGTCCCCATGCTTTAAAGTTACTGTCAGTGGTGATATCCTTATGAGCAACACACACGGCCACCAACATCACCAAACATCACCCTCACCACCCACACCACCCTCACCTCACACACCCTGTCCCCACACCTATCCACTTACATTTAAGTTTGCCATCAGTGTTGATAAGCTTATGGTCAGCCCCTTGCCTTGAAACTAATTTAGCACCACAGACACTTAAACAGAACATAATGTACTGATGCATGAGTTGGAATATGTCGTGACTTGGACAATCCTGACGCTGTAAACAAGACATTATTGTATTGATAGGCCATGTACTGTTTTCATTAGAGAGCATTGTCAATAGTCCTTCAGTTATATCCTGAATTCTATTTATTGCCATTAAAAAGATACAGGATTCAGTTCACATCTAATAGTATTACATGGTACGGGAAATCCTATCTTCAGACTGACATGACCTTATAGACTCCACTCAGTCTGTAAAGAACTTCTTGACTTCATAGATCTAAGAATGTTTTCCCTCCAATAAGCATATTTTGATGCTCTATTAATACACTATTTTGAGGGGGTATTTTTCATCTCCCGTTTTATGATGATTACAAAATGAGATGGCAGGGGCGTATATCAACTCCAGTCTAAATTTACTTCTTCCTAGCAGACAAAGATAAGGTACCTGCAGGTTACAGATATGAGCAGGTTCATCATGCATGTATTTCACATGAATATGTTACATGTACGGGAAAATTATCTTGAGATACCGGAACTGTCTAGAGATTATACCCAGTATTTAACCTTCAGCCACCATTTTGATTAACTCCAATTTTGTGAAGTCTATTAACATCTCATGATGTTGAACCTGTTGGCAGGGTACGTATTTACTCATGGTATCAGGCTGTTTTAGTTAATATGCATGACATGCACCTGTTACAGATTGCCTGAGCATTGTGAAAAACACAAAGAATTCCATGATGAACGGCATTGTGGAGAAAGTGATAATTATGAAGATAAAGAAAAGAGTGTGTTGAAAGAAAGTTGGAACACAAACCGATTCCCTTTGTGGTGGCAAGATAACTAATTTGGTGTGTAAAAATAAATCCAGCAAAGATAGATGATTGTGCTGTACAGGTGACGTCAGAGATGGTATTTTCCTTCCGACTTTTATGACCCATGTTACGATCTCCTCTCAGGTGGCATCTGATGGACATATATTACATGGCGCATCTGCTGGTCGATTTCACAACTTGTACATCTCTTTCTCTCGCCAGTGGTATGGCCTAATGGTTAAAGCAGTTGCTTGTCAGACCAAAAAGACCCTGGATTCGATTCCACAATTTTTCCATATGGGTACAACCTGTGACGCCCATTTATGGTGTCCCCCCACTGATATTGCTTTACTATTGTTATGTATTGTCATATAATACAATACACACATACATCATACAGTCCCCACATCTGACCTTCATTGTGTTTTGTTGATTTATATTCCAATCCCTGAGTCTTAAAGTAGCTTGCAGTCTCTGGTGGTGATCAAGGGTGACTTCATGGATCAAGCGTTCAGGCTGACTTGTTTGAGACGCCGTACTGTACCTTGATGTCACCTGCACCTTCCTAAGGCAAGGGAGTTAACTCACTATAGATCCGGTTTCCACCCTTGCCCATCATGAATAGAATTTCGTGGGTTATTAATTGTAGCGCCACCAGCTGCTGTTATGAGTAATTTCCCTTTCATGTCCATCCTAATGACCAATCAGATTCCTGCTCTCACATCACTTGTATTTGCTTTAAACAAAATGGCTGAACCCAGTTAAGACTATTTCATTGATAACCAAGATGTCTGTTACAATATAACAGGTCTTACCATGTGGAGTGCATCAAATCACTTCAGCCTCTTGATTAAAAACATGAAAAGATTTGAAAAATATCTGTAGAAGCCCAGATTGAGGGTTACATGCTACGGAAATCCAGCCATCATCCAAAATCTGCACAGCAGTAGCCATGTTGTTTATGAACCGAATGTTGATTTTGATCGGACTATGTATAAAAATGTTAATCCAACCAACATAATCCTCCCTCATTCAGCTTTGTTTGGCAAGGGTGGAAATGGGACTTTTATAGCTAATTATAGTTTTATAGTTAAGTCCCTTGCCTTAGGAAGATGGGTCACATCTCACGATGTCAGTCACTGGGTTGTGTGGTCCGGACTTGGTAATTGACATGTTTACAGTCCGCCAACTGGAAAACTGCTGAGTGTGTCATTTACACAGACCGTTGATGCTTTGTAAAACATGCTCTGTTGTCACATTCTTCACTTTCAAAAAGGTTTGATGGATTAGTTAGTGGAGAGAGTTTTACTTAATCGATTAGTGCCAGTACGATGTTGGTATGTAAACATGTTGCGAAGACTTAAGCAGACGCAAAATAATGGAACTCCATGTACTTTACATTGAACAAATTCAACCATTTTCATCCATCGCAGGATCTACAATTTCATAGTTCTGAACTGTCAGGTTTGTGCAGTCAGTCGGGTGTTTGTTGTTTCAGGTCCGTCAAGGTGAAATGTAAAAGTATTTTGAAGCACAAGAGTTACTTTATCAGCATATTAATTTGCTGCACTTGAACCATATTGTAGCCATGCATTTGACGAAGGTATTTATATATGCTGTAAGTTTGAACATGTGTACAGCCATCCTGCATATGTTCGCTAAGAGTTGGGTCTGTTGACAACAGTTTGTTTGGGTTAGCTTTGTTATTTCTGGAAACTTTTGTGTTTTGTGAGAACTCATGCCAGCTTTCGGCACATTTTTCTCAGTATGTCGGCAATAATTTTAAGAAGAAACTAATGAATAATACACAGGTTCTGTTTATGTTGTAGATTCTCAAAGATACCATGTTGCTTGAATATACATTTGTTCATATGACATTTCAGTTTGCATTATTGAGCCACAAAACTGAAAACCCCACAAACAGAACAGCTGTTTAGTTTGTGTATGTTTGTACATAGTTTTAAAGCCAGAGTAAGACATTTTGTGGGCTTATTAGTAAACATTACATGTATTCATTACATTGTTTAAGTATCTAAACATGGTTTCCTAAATTAAATCAAATCTGAAACAGTTTGTTCTATGACATTATGCCAAACATAACACCGTACATATTTTATGTATGGTTTCCATGTTACATGCATAGTTGTGAAGTAGAGTTGTCTCCCTTGTGGAGCTCTCCTTTGAAACTAGGATTCAGGTGATGTCTCAGCTGTTTCTACTTCCTCGCGATGTCAGCTGTCAGAGTCAGTGTTATTTTCTCTCTAGTTCTTCTTCTGCTTTCTCCAACTGGGGTGCATTTGTTCCAACTTGACCCAAGTTGTTTGAATGCCACTCCTACAGAAGGCAATGCTTTATGTAACTATTCTGTCCTCTTTCAAAAAGCGTTCTCACAAAATATTTGAGGCAGGTAAATTACCTAAATCTGTTTGCATGAGCAAAGAATGTTTAGAAAATGTTTTGTGCAAGAACTGTACCGCTATAGTCCGTTTCAGAGGTGCCTCATGATCTGGTGATTATAGGTGTGTTTCACATGTTATATCCAGGAGATCATTGAGATCAGTGCCATGGACCGATCCACATTTTATACCATACCCACAAACTACCTGACCTTAACTGACATTGACTCTTGTTTTCCGCTCTTCATAATTTATATCTTCTCACAGAACCAATCCATCGAACTGATACAGGTTCTTGGTATGTGAAATTTACCATTAAGATTTAGATTTAGCCAGATTTAGTACCATTCAATACTACCGATGTAACTCATTTTGTATTTGTCAGTTTCTAGTTGGAATTAATGTACTATACATGCTTTAAGAAGTCTTCAGTGTCAGTGATTACATGCTCTGTTTCTGTCAGTGATTACATGCTCTGTTTCTGTCAGTGATTACATGCTCTGTTTCTGTCTGTGATGACATGCTCTGTTTCTGTCAGTGATTACATGCTCTGTTTCTGTCAGTGATTACATGCTCTGTTTCTGTCAGTGATTACATGCTCTGTTTCTGTCAGTGATTACATGCTCTGTTTCTGTCAGTGATTACATGCTCTGTTTCTGTCAGTGATTATATGCTCTGTTTCTGTCAGCTCTGTTTCTGTCAGTGATTACACGCTCTGTTTCTGTCAGTGATTATATGCTCTGTTTCTGTCAGTGATTACATGCTCTGTTTCTGTCAGTGATTACATGCTCTGTTTCTGTCAGTGATTACGCTCTCATTTCTGTCTGTGATGTTGCTCTGTTTCTGTCAGTGATGACATGCTCTGTTTCTGTCAGTGATTACATGCTCTGTTTCTGTCAGTGATTACATGCTCTGTTTCTGTCAGTGATTACATGCTCTGTTTCTGTCAGTGATTACATGCTCTGTTTCTGTCAGTGATTACATGCTCTGTTTCTGTCAGTGATTACATGCTCTGTTTCTGTCAGTGATTACATGCTCTGTTTCTGTCAGTGATGACATGCTCTGTTTCTGTCAGTGATGACATGCTCTGTTTCTGTCAGTGATTACATGCTCTGCTCTGTTTCTGTCAGTGATTACATGCTCTGTTTTTGTCTGTGATGACATGCTCTGTTTCTGTCAGTGATTATATGCTCTGTTTCTGTCAGTGATTACATGCTCTGTTTTTGTCTGTGATGACATGCTCTGTTTCTGTCAGTGATTACATGCTCTGTTTCTGTCAGTGATTACATGCTCTGTTTCTGTCAGTGATTACATGCTCTGTTTCTGTCAGTGATTACATGCTCTGTTTCTGTCAGTGATTACATGCTCTGTTTCTGTCAGTGATTATATGCTCTGTTTCTGTCAGTGATTACATGCTCTGTTTCTGTCAGTGATTACATGCTCTGTTTTTGTCAGTGATTACATGCTCTGTTTCTGTCAGTGATTACATGCTCTGTTTCTGTCTGTGATTACATGCTCTGTTTCTGTCAATGATTACATGCTCTGTTTCTGTCAGTGATTACATGCTCTGTTTCTGTCAGTGATTATATGCTCTGTTTCTGTCAATGATTACATGCTCTGTTTCATTCTGTGATTACATGCTCTGTTTCTGTCAGTGATTTAGGCAAATAATATGCACCTGGAATACATCTAAGCCACAGTCGGCCCTTTGTTTTCAGATATTCTTTCATATAACATTTGCAAGAAATAGGTCCCCAGCAACACATGCTGGCCATTATTGGCGACCAAATGGCTTGGGAGGTCAACCCCTGTGGTTAGGATCACAGTGGGTCATCGTACCCTGATGGTATGGATCATTCAGTCACTGGATTGTCTGGTCCCGACTTGATTATTACCAGGCCGCACCACAAAGCTGGAATATAGCTAAAAGTGGCATTAAACAATCATCATATCATATTGTCTGAAGAAGAAGATGACACATTTGGAATAGATCAAGACAGTGTTATTTTATGCTAGATTTCAGTTTCCATATATTCAGTTCAGAGTAGGTGACATGTGAGCAAGCAATGTTTGGGGACTTTCCAGGTAAATACAGTTGTAATGAAATGGAGGTAATCACAAAACATTGTACATACTTCAGCACTGTGAAAACTTCAAAGCAGGCTGGTTTTCTACATTTGTAGATGAGGACATCCATAATGCTGTTTTGTCTGAAATTAGAGATGTAACAAAACGGAGTACACACACTTGGACCTATGGTGGGTTAGAAAAATAACATAATGGCTTTTTGTAGTCGATGAGAAAGAGGGATTTGTATAAGTTATGTGTGGACTTGGATGATGGACAAGTAATTATTGAGAGTTTTGTGGTGTAAACCGTCAAAGTCAACAGTTAAAAAATGTGTTGTTTGCTCAGCCAATGGTTAACTAATTTACACCTCAACACTGTAACGTTGCTCTAACAAAACAGTAAATGTCAACACCTGTAAGTAGCTTACTGTTTGCATAGCTTCAGTTCAAAGAGTGGTTCACAGACTTCTAACTTGATTTTTTCAGTCTGAAACTCTTTTTCATCCTGTTACCCAGTGTTCACGAATGGTGTTTCAAAGTAACAGGACATTGGGTCCTGTAAGTTTAAGATGTCTGTCTGACCCATTGAAAATTCACAGGACCCATGGAATAAAATTAAACACACATTTCAGATTTAACAGTTCTTATAATTGGCATTGTAATTATTTACTAACATAAGAAAAAATAAGATAAAATAAACAGCAAACAAGTGTCACATGTCACATGTAACAACTTCAGTCAAAGTCATTGTGAAATATACAGTCGGACACTGGGGCCGGTGGTTTGTAGACTTCTATCGAACCGTTGGCGAATCTGCCGGATTTGTCAGAGGGTCAGACACTATTCGCGAACACTGGTTACCTATTTGATTGAGTTCAGTATTCAAAAATCAGTATGAACATCAAGGGTTTTGTCATAAGCGAATGTTGAAAGTTGACAGGAAGAGTTCCCCAGATTCCATCGCTGATGAAGACAGGCTCGAAGAACCACAGGATCTTCTCATTATTGCTCACCAATGCCCTGGTAGTATGGGTGTATCTCACTCTGCCGGATTGCCTCCCCTGACCAATCAGGATAGGCTTGACATGGATTATCATACAAGATAGGTAACACTAGTTCTCAAAGTTTGAAGCCAGTCCTGCCGAGACATCAAGAAAAGTTTATCACGTTTCCACAAAAGTTTTATAATGATTCAAGTTGAAGAAAGCTGTTGAGACATTTAGAACTGGTTCAGAATTATAGCTCGCAAAGACTATTCATCCATGAGGGCTGTCATTGTGAACTTCACTTGTCATCAGCACAACTGAATAATCTTATGGACAACTAGTGAGTAGTATCACAGACGACTAGTGAATAGTATCACGGACGACTAGTGGGTAATTTCAAAGGCTGGTGGTTTCAATAACACTGTAGTCCATATCGTGGACTTTCTGTACACATTGAGTGGACAACCTTATTTCATCTCAAATTCTGTTCAGAACATCCTACAGCTCAATATTCACCTATGTTACAACAAATTGTCAATCCCCAGATTTTAGATTCTGACAGCTGTTCCAGTTTTCTTTGAAACGCTGAAGGTTTTATGAATGCCATGTTTCCTGTGGCGTCATGCCTGCAATGCTGATGAGTAACTATTAACCTTTGACCGATTCCTCATTTTTCCATGTGCAGACTCAAGCTGCAGATGCAAAGCCTTATCAAATTCTTTTCATCATCTCCACTGAGGAAGTGTAATCTTCAAATATAACATATGTTACATCATCTAATTCGATCACTTTACTTTCATCCTAAGATCATAAGGGGAAGCTTTCCTACAGATTACCTTCTATACTTTAAGGATGCATGGTTAAACAGGAATCATCTGTTTGCCAGGGTCACAGTTTCGGACTCATAAATACTTGTACTGTTGTGTTCCTGATTGTCAAATGTGCTATCTGGGTGGCCAATCAGATGCTTGTGTTCTGCTTGTTTCATACCTCATTCCAATTTCCTGAAGGGTAACAATATTGCCGTGATGGTATCTATGACGCTGAAAGAGTTCTCTGGACTGGTTTATGAACTGAGGAGTGGTGAAAATAGGTTATCTTGACAAGAAAGCAAGCACATTCCATCAGACAAACCATGATTACAAAGGAGCACATGGATGTGGGTTAGTGTTCATCAGCCTCTTGTCTTCAGGTTCGCCACATGTTGTCATCAGGCAATTGGTGCGTGTTCTTCATAGGTGTTTAATTGGGGCGTGTTCTTCAGAGGTGTGTTCTTGTGTCTCCATGGGCATTTTGTCTTCAGGTGTCATGTCAATTGTGTCATCATGCAAAAGGGTTGTCTTCATGTTCCACTGAATTGGGGCCATGTTGTCTTCAAGAAACATACCCATATACTTGTGTCATCATGCAACAGGGTTGTCTTCATGATCTACTGTGTTTGAGGGGATGTTGTCTTCAAGAAACTTGCACAAGTACTTGTGTGATCAGGCAACGAGGCGATTATCAAAATCTACTGTGTTTGGGGGATTTTGTGTTCAAGAAACTTGCACATGTACTTGTGTCATCAGGCAACGAGGCTATTATCAAAATCTACTTTGTTTGGGGGCATGTTGTCTTCAAGAAAGTTGCACATGTACACAGGCAAGCAGGTCTTGTTCTTGTGTCTCTTAGAGAAGATAAACTAGCAATTACAGGTGCTTCCAAGAGAAGCAGGGATGGTGGTAACAGGTGCTCATCAGTGTCACGGGATTGTTACATACATGGGTTGTGATTTTCCACCATTTTAGAGTTCTTTTGCAGAGTAAGTCCCCAGCACTCCATACATGTTGTGAGAACAAACTAAATGAGGATAGATGATCACAGTAGAGAACTGGATGATTGTGCATCATTACACCCAGATCGGCAATGTACATGTGACAAACAACTTGTGTACCTTACAGAAGTTCAACCCAGGTTGTTTACAGGCCATTGCTTTATAACTAGGTTGTTGCTAAGTATGGCATTCATTTTGGTAATATTGTATCTTAAGGGATGGTGAGATGGTCTAGTGGTTAATGATTACACTCATACATTGAGCCCTGGTTCAAGTCCCTATATGTGCAACATGGAAAGTATTATTCTTGGTGACTCGGTATTATATTTGGCACATGGGCCTGGTTCAAGGCCATTAATGTCATATGGGAAACCAGAATCAGGTGAAGAGGATGTTGCTGTCATCAAACAGGAAGTGAATGATGTTTCTGTAAATCTAAATCAGTACCTTGCACAGTACACTTGTATCAAATTTTAATACTGATTTAAGTACATATCATGAATTATTTTGTTTGAAGCTCATAGTGTTGCAAGTCCAAGTACACTCTGGTCACTGTAGTATCTTTACTGCACTGAATATTTCATGTCTTCACACGACTGGTGAAGTGCTTTAGGTCTACACATAACGGATCACTGTGATGAACAGTTTTCTCTGTCCATTAATATAACAAAAGCTTTGCACATAGTAGATGACATATGCTGTGATGAGGTAGTTCATTGAACATCCTGTAGTCAAATCAAATTGTTTGCCTTGTTAAGCTGCATTCATTACAAAGTATGTGTTGAAAATCAGATTTTTTTTTGTTCAGGATAAAGAAGAGTTGTTGATAATGATTATACGTTTGCAGGAATTTGTCTCTGCTGTCGATTACCTCGTCACTGGAGGATTGTACAAATCATTAGTGCAACTTACTTATGCTTTAGCTCAAGAAAATTATAGCTGTGGTGCCAAATCCTACAAGCATTCATGGTGCTGCGTCATTCATGATCCTATTATAAACTATGTGTTATTATGATGGTATGAACACCTTGTGGATGGGAACCAGGTTTGTGAACTTGAATAATTAAGGCAGCATATATGTTCCCATCAACTGCTGCCTGAGCTGCTGTATTCAACATGGCAGTGGAGCAAGTCCCAGGCTACACACGGCCAGCCCTGGAGGGAATGGCTGCAATGTTATCATATCCTCCATCTTGGTTTATATCCACAAGTGTGGGTACCGACTGCTTGTAGGTATGTGTTGGTATACTGATACCAGCCTCCTCTCTCACACACCTACATTCTGAAGAGATCTCACCTACAAGCACTGGCCTACAGATCTCACCTACAGGCATTGTTCTTAGAGATCTCACCTACAGGCATTGTTCTTAGAAATTTCGCCTACAGGCACTGGCCTAGAGATCACACCTACAGGCATTGGCCTAGAGATCTCACCTACAGGCATTGTTCTTAGAGATCTCACCTACAGGCATTGTTCTTTGAGATCTCACCTACAGGCATTGTTCTTGAGATCTCACCTACAGGCATTGTTCTTAGAGATCTCACCTACAGGCACTGGCCTAGAGATCTCACCTACAGGCATTGTTCTTAGAGATCTCACCTACAGGCATTGTTCTTAGAAATTTCACCTACAGGCATTGGCCTAGAGATCTCACCTGCAGGCATTGTTCTTAGAGATCTCACCTACAGGCATTGTTCTTAGAAATTTCACCTACAGGCATTGGCCTAGAGATCTCACCTACAGGCATTGTTCTTAGAAATTTCACCTACAGGCATTGGCCTAGAGACCTCACCTACAAGAATTTTTCTTAGAGATCTCACATACAGTCATTGGCCTAGACATCTCACCTACAGGCATTGGTCTGAGGGTGGTCTGCTACAGGCATTGGCCTAATGGGACTCACCTACGGACATTGGCCTAAGGGGCGTCACCTACAGGCATCATTGTAAGGGGACTCACATACAGGCAGGGCGGTGGGATATTCTAGTGGTTAAAACATTAACTCGTCATGCTGAAGATCCAGGTTTGATTCCCCGCATGGATAAAATCTTTTTCCAACAGAGAATAACTAGAGTTTCCTCCTGTTATTCCAGGTTTCTTCATGTAGCTGTGGGCAAGGCTGACCAGGGCATCAAGGTTCCAGCTCCAGTCCAGAAGGCGCCAGAACCAGTTGACCTTACCAAGCAAATGATTGGTCGAGACAAGCCACCTGGGACCCAGCCAGGTGAAGGGCAGGTGGACATTATGCAGATGTTGACCAAGGCTCAGAGTGAATATGTCAAGGTAAATAATTAGGAGCATAAGGAGAAGTTGAAACATGAATTGTTTGTTCTACTAGTGTACTGTAGGAGTTTACAAACACCTGTTGTAATGTCATAACTATACATAAAGTTTAATTATCTCATTAGTCACAACTAGTTAAGAATAAATTATGCATCAGAAAACAGTCAAATTTCAATCCGGCCTTGTGTTGATTAGCAATAACAACAACTCCTGATGACAGTTACTTCTATTTGTGTTGAGTAGCAACAGGGAGTAAAATAGTTGACTTTACAATCTTGATAAATAATGTATTCCTTTCTGTTACATTGTATAATATAATCAGCAAACCTAAATGTTGATTGAATACAAAATAAATCTCTACCACTACAATAGCTGACAATATACAATGCTATACAATAGTGTAGCGAGTTGTTTCAATACCACAGTGAAAGTAGCCCCAATATACCTCTGTTATTATTGTCTGGTACTATTTGTCATATTAAACAAAGATATACATACATATGTACCAAGTACTCAAACACCATCACCACAGTAGCTGTCTTAGCTGTTATGTCAAGTGTACCAGCTCTTGGAAGTGTAGGATCTTTTGGAAGTGTGGACGTGTAGGAACTTTTGGAAATGTAGGATGTCTTGGAAGTTGAGGAGCTTTGAGAAGTGTAGGATGTCTTGGAAGTGTAGGAGCTCTTGGAAATGTAGGATCTCTTGGAAGTATAGAAGTTCTTGGAAGTGTAGGAGCTTTTGCAAGTTAGGAAGCTCTTGGAAATGTAGGAGCTCTTGAAAGTGTAGGAGCTCTTGGAAATGTAGGATCTCTTGGAAGTGTAGAAGGTTTTGGAAGTGTAGGAGCTCTTGAAAGTGTAGGAGCTCTTGGAAATGTAGGAGCTCTTGGAAGTGTAGAAGGTTTTGGAAGTGTGGAAGTGTAAGTGAGCCTCTTGGAAGTGTAGGAGCTCTTGGAAATGTAGGAGCTCTTGGAAGTATAGAAGGTTTTGGAAGTGTAGGAGCTCTTGGAAGTGTAGGAGCTCTTGAAAGTGTAGGAGCTCTTGGAAGTGTAGGAGCTCTTGGAAGTGTAGGAGCTCTTGGAAGTGTAGGAGCTCTTGGAAGTGTAGGAGCTCTTGGAAGTGTAGGAGCTCTTGGTAATATAGGATCTCTTGGAAGTATAGAAGGTTTTGGAAGTGTAGGAGCTCTTGGAAGTGTAGGAGCTTTTGGAAGTTAGGAAGCTCTTGGAAATGTAGGAGTTCTTGGAAGTATAGAAGGTCTTGGAAGTGTAGGAGCTTTTGGAAGTTAAGAAGCTCTTGGAAATGTAGGATCTCTTGGAAGTATAAAGGTCTTGGAAGTGTAGGAGCTCTTGAAAGTGTAGGAGCTTTTGGAAGTTAAGAAGCTCTTGGAAATGTAGGATCTCTTGGAAGTGTAGGAGCTCTTGGACATGTAGGTTCTCTTGGAAGTGTAGGAGCTCTTAGAAGTGAAGGATCTCCAGACTTTGCATCTGATGTATTATGGTGTCTTCCAATTATGATTGTTGTTCAGTTACAAGCAGTTGTTAGCTTCCCTCATTTCAAATGGTTCCATCATCGTCAACAGGCCAAAGGAGCTCCAGGCCCTACTAAGGAGGAGAAGCCCCGCCCCTATGACCGACCACATCACCACTGCCGCCCCCACCAGCAATGTCAACCTTGTTCGTCCTACGCCAGTCAAGTTCAGCATGGAGGGGTCTCCATCAGAAGGTGGGGTCTTTGATAAGTCATATACTGTTATCTATGATTCTGTTGTTGGGGTCTCCCATCAGAAGGTGTGTGGGTGGGGTGGGGGTTTGGGTTAGCCTAGTGGTTAAAGCGTTGGCTCAACGCGCCGAAGACCCAGGTTCGTTTCCCCACATGAGTACAATATGTGAAGCTCATTTCTGGTGTCTCCCGCCATGATATTGATGGAATATTGCTATAAGCGGCATAAAACCATACTGACTCACTCACTCAGAAATTGGGGTGATTGATGAATCATATACTGTTATCTATGATTCTGTTGTTGGAGTTATACAGCTCTTGCATCAGTTTGAGAGTTTCTGTGAGAATGTATTGGGCATTGCAACCCTTCAATCACAGAATTGAGTCATCATGCTCACTGACTTGGTTCATGCATGTCATCACATGGCAATTGATGCTCATGTTGCAATCACTGGAATGTCTGGTCCATCATTCAGGCTGCCGTCATATGGCAGGACTATTGCTGAGTTCAGTATTAAACAACAAACAAACACTATACTGACTTACAGTGTTATAATAAACAGCAGTGAGAGCTTGGTCCAAACACAGGGCACTCGCAGTGTGAGGAACATGAATACTGCATCGTGTACAGGTCGGTGGTATTTGTAACCCAGCTCCTGTTGTCGCCATGGAAATAGAGTCAACAAACAACAAGCAGTAATTACTGTGCTAGGTTCCAACAGCATTTTTAGATTCATAATTAATTTGCTTCTTAATTGGAGTCTGTTCATGGTAATGTTTTACACTAAATATTTTGTTTTCATTGCAAGGGGTAAATAAGTATATACCGGTAGGTGTTCTGTCATGCTGCTTTTTATGTGTTGCAAATATGTATTAACAATGGACAGGGCTCCAGATAAGGGCCGTATCGGCCGTATGTACGGATAAAAAATATGCACGATACGGTAGGAAATAATTTAGAAAACTTAGCAGATACGCACCACTGCAATGCTGTACGGTCTTGGAATCATTTACAGACGTATTTATCTCACTCCTCACTCACTCACTCACTCACTCACTCACCACTCACCTCCACTCCTCACTCACTCACACTCCACTCACCACCTCACTGCTCACTCACTCACTCACTCACTCACTCACTCACTCACTCACCACTCACTCACCACCACTCACCTCACCACTCACTCTCTCACTCTCACTCACTCTCACTCACTCTCACTCACTCACTCACTCACTCCTCCTCACTCACTCTCACTCACTCACTCACTCACTCACTCACCTCCTCACCACTCACTCACTCACTCACTCACTCACTCACTCACTCACTCACTCACTCACTCACTCACTCACTCACTCACTCACTCACTCACTCACTCACTCACTCACTCACTCACTCACTCACTCACTCACTCACTCACTCACTCACTCACTACTCACTTGGTGCGGGTATTGACAAAACACAAAATTGCACCCTGCCTTGCAATACTTGCTAATCTGTTGTGATGTATATTGCAGTATATGGGAAAACGTATCTATTAGTTTTGTTTAACATAGACATGAACAATTGAAATGTTGTTCACACTTTGGGTCGCCTTTCCTTGCAACAATAGTTATTTTGGCAAATCTTCTTTTGTTATCGCGTTGCAGGGGGTATTAAAATGGACTCCATCCGTGCGTCCGTTCGTCCGTCGCACATTTGTCTTTCTTCCTCCGAGCAGAACTCTAAAACCGCTTCACTATTTCTTCACCAAACTTGGCACATAGATAGATCTGGTGGTGTACTGGTGCCTTTTGGTAGTTTTGGAATTCTGAATAAAATATTTTTGGCATTTCCATGGCAACAAGTTTGACTTAGACTGAAATTGGTGGTAGTGCTCTTTTCCGGAGCAGAACTCTAAAACCGTTCAATGTTTCTTCACCAAACTTGGCACATAGATAGATCTGGTGGTGTACTGGTGCCTTTTGGTAGTTTTGGAATTCTGAATAAAATATTTTTGGCATTTTCCATGGCAACAAGTTTGACATAGACTGAAATTGGTGATAGTGCTCCTTTCTGGAGCAGAACTTTAAAAACCTTTCAATGCTCTCCTTCCACTTTTCTATATACACACCTAAATATTTGACATAATCATAACTTGTAGACATAATCATGAAGAGTATTTTGCCATTGCGGGGGATATTGATGACTTTGTCTTCTTGTTTGTTCAACCCCACACTCTATTTTACAGCTATATAATGCCATCTGACCACCCAATCCCATTAGTGGCCTGTTCAGACATGTATGGGTTGCTGAAGATCAATTCTAACCCATATCTTCAGGGCTCTTTTGAAATAAATATTGAGGGCAATTCAAATACCGAGTTGAGTTGAAGACACAAACTCAAACATGCAAGGACTGTAGAAGTAGGTGTACAAGGAACTGGATCTAAGGGAAGCTACTCTTTGTGGCTTTAGATTTCCAACAAATCACTATTGCTTTGATTTCAGAATCATGTTCAAATCCTCTGGAATGCTAAATCTTGTGCTATATCCCACTCAGGTGTTGTTTGTATCAAATTCAGGTACTAACATCCTTGTACTGATGAAACATAGAATGTGTCAACTAGGGCTGCAACGAATACACTATGTGGTGAATATGATACGTATCATGAATATTGGGTAACGAATACAAATAATTATTCAAGAATACAGTATTGTAGTTAAGTGATTGATTTACAATATGAACACCCATGTTGACAGTTTTGATTTGTCACAGCAATAACCAGTGATCTCATGACACTCAAATTTGGTATGTAATAGTTATAGTCGACAGTACCTGTACGGCCTTGGCAAACTAACATCACTTGCGCTACTGCAATGCTAGTACATATTCAATCCTTGCATATCTCACTTTCCAAAAGTACACAAGGGTTCAAGTAAAACATGCTCCCTTAAAAAAATCGTAAATATTCGTTAATATTCGGTTCTGGTGACCACGAATAACGAATTGAATTCATGAAGGGCTTCGGTTCGATTCACCGAATATGCGAGTGAATCGTTGCAGCCTTAGTGTCAACACAAAATGATTAATACGCTCAACTAAATAGATTCTCTCGATACCCTTCTATGTAGTAGTGTAGTTGTTCCCAGGAAAGCTGAAGGTCTGTTGTTTGGACCACTGGGATTGTCATGCACATGAATTTAATCTTGAACACGACATAAAGCCTTATTTTACAACAACTTGTTTAATTGTTTGTTTTAATTCAAGGCCATATCCTTCTCCTTCAGAAATGCCTGCAATCGTGTCAGGTAACCTATCCCAGCCTGCATCTGATTCTTCAGGACCAATGACGCTGGAGGCGTTGTTCCGTAAGGCCAGTATTAGCCAACAGCGGGGAGGAATGGTGGATGCCTCTACCGCTGAACTTCCAGATGTCACCAAGCCCTCAGTGTTACAAAGGTAGATTATTTTCAAAATGGGATCATGACAATTATACTCTTTCTGGAAAGTGTGTATTACCATAAGGCCAAGCTTGGAGTTGTGAGGAATTAGAATTGATATTGTTCAAATTAATCTAGGGGCGGTGGGGTAGCCTAATGGTTAAAGTGTCTGCTCGTCATGCTGAAGTGAGTGAGTGAGTGAGTATGGTTTTATGCCGTTTTTAGCAATATTCCAGCAATATCACGGCGGGGGAGACCCGGGTTCGTTTCCCCATATGGGTACAATGTGTGAAGCCCATTTCTGGAGTCCCCTGCCGTGATATTGCTGGAATATTGCTTAAAGCAGCGTTAAACAATGCTCACTCACTCTCTCACTCAAATTGATCTGTTTATCTCCTACGTTAATGTCGTGTTGTTGAGTCATGAGGCTACGTTAATGTCGTGTTGTTGAGTCATGAGGCTCACAGTGACTGTTGTACTGCAGGTCAATCTCCATGGTGGAGACAGAATCTCACAAGGACAAGCTTCCCCCGATGCTGCAGAAACTCATCTCAACAGGACAGACGGTGGAGGAGATCGAACGGCAGCAGATCAGCCACAACATCCTTGAAAGACCAAGATCAGAAGGATGTGACTCCTTGAAACCCGACGGCACCTCCCCCATCCCCATGCAGGACCCCCTCCTTCACAAGCCCCTCATGGCAGGGCTTCATCAGCTGCTGGTCCCCAGGACCAAGCCCCAGCCCCCTGGGGGTGCCGCACAGCCAGGAGCCAAGGCAGGTGACGTCACTATGTCTGGGGATGCCCCGCTGCTGAAACCCAGCGACATCGAGCAGGGAGGGACCGGACTGGCTCACAGTGTATCCATGCTGCCATCTACTCTGGTAATAAAACCTGCATACAGTGGATAGGTGTTTCTTCATCAATGAAGGCATTCTGTGATTTAACTGAAATACAGTCACAGGTGGCATTTAACACAACTTTGTCACTCATGCAGTGGAACTTTGCAGAATTGCAAACTATTTTCATCCAGGTGCAATGACACTATTTAAAACAAAATATGTACCCTAACATACAGAAATTATCATATATTAAACTTTAATTTAACTCTTTACATGGTTAAACTGTTTTGAAAGTTAAAGATTATTAAAACTGATCTTCGGTGTACAGAAGTCTTTTCAAAGGGAAGTAACTCCAAGAGCAGTTGATGGTTCTCATTCATTGTTGTCTTAGGGCCTGTTCGATTATTGCGAAATTGGTTTCTCTTGTCATAAACAAGTGTCTAGTTTCGGATACATCGTTTCAAAGTGAAACTAAATTCTATTTTTATATACGAGTGAATGGTTTCACCATCCGGTTTCAAAATGGATACCCCAAAAATGTCCCAGCTACTATATATGTGGAACGAATTGGATTGCAGCATATTGTTTTGTTATTTTATCAGTTAATTAACAAAAAATAAAGAGATAAGATGCTTTTGGAGGTAAATATTTGCGTATATATAATTATACTGTTACAAGTAATTATATGTATACAATTTACATCAAATAGTCATGTTCAGTAGACTGGGGTTTTGAATAATATTTTCTCAGTTGATTTTTATCATTATTTTGGTTACAGAAATTTGCTCTATTTTGCCACCAAGATCAGCGTATTATTTATTTCATCATCACATCAAAGTATGAACTGCCACACAGTGCTTCAATTGATGAAACTTAGTTTCTCTGTAACTATGATATTTAATGACAGTTCAATTTAATAAGGGAAGCTTCATTTGTGAAGTATCAATAAGAGCTATGTGTCTTGCTTCGTCTTTGTAGATGTCCGGTGATGTTGGTATACTCCCATCCTCATCAGTGTCGTGTCCCGATGTGCTCCTGTCTCCCATGGCATTCTCGTCATCACATGACAAGAGGAAAAGTCCCCCGCTCCCTACCACCCCCACCACACAGCAGCCAGCAGGTAGGTACACCAGTCAATCTTATACATTACAACTATAGATACAGTCGTATGATATCTTGTATTAATGGTATTCTACCACGTATATCACCCAAGTGTTGGCTACCCGCTGGGTTATAAGAGATCAAGCTGTATCACGTGACAAGAGGAAAAGTACCAGTGTATCACCAGTTTTTATCACTCTAGGGTGTGTCACAGCAGGATATATCATACCAGGATTTATCGCATGAGAATATATCACACCAGGGTATATATCACCAGTGTATATCACACTAGGGTGTGTCACAGCAGAATATATATTATCATGAGAATATATCACACCAGTGTTTATCACTCTAGGGTGTGTCACAGCAGGATATATCATGATTTATCGCATGAGAATATATCACACCAGGGTATATATCACCAGTGTTTATCACTCTAGGGTGTGTCACAGCAGGATATATCATACCAGGATTTATCACACTAGGGTGTGTCACAGCAGAATGATGAGAATATATCACACCAGGGTATATATCACCAGTGTTTATCACTCTAGGGTGTGTCACAGCACAGGATATATCATACCAGGATATCATCATATCCAGGGTATATATCACACTATATATTATCGCATTAGTGATTATCACTCTAGGGTGTGTCACAGGATATATCATACCAGGATTTATCCCATGAGAATATATCACACCAGGGTATATATCACCAGTTTTTATCACTCTAGGGTGTGTCACAGCAGGATATATCATACCAGGATTTATCCCATGAGAATATATCACACCAGGGTATATATCACCAGTGTTTATCACTCTAGGGTGTGTCACAGCAGGATATATCATACCAGGATTTATCCCATGAGGATATATCACACCAGGGTATATATCACCAGTGTTTATCACTCTAGGGTGTGTCACAGCAGGATATATCATACCAGACAGGGTATGTAACACTGGGCTCAATCACACTTGGCCGTGTCAAAGTATAGGTACATCACACAGGGCTATATTACACCACAGATATATCAGTAAATCATGTATCTCCTGTGTAAATACTTGTATGCTTGTTTCAGCTCTGGACCGCACCCAGAGTGACAGCTCGGAACCGGAGCAGTCGGCTGCCATCACTCACTCACCACTCACCAAAGATCAGTTACAACAAGCTCTGCTTTATCTCATTAAGGTACAGCTGAATTCTGTGTCCTGTTTCATAAGGCAACTGTAGCATGACAAGGATCATCCCACATGTAGATTTGTGGAAGAACTTCATCTGCTGTCATTTCTATTGGTGACAGAATCTTAATCTTCTTCTTGTACATGTTTGATTTTGTCCTACATGTCCTTATAGAATCAGATATAAAATAGGGTATCGAGTAGCCAAGTAAGACGTTTTATTGTCACGCCCAAGGACCAGGTTCAATTCCAAACTTTTGAGCCAACTTTCTGATGTCCAACGTTGTGTTATTGCTGTAATATTAATAAAAGGTCCTTTGGTAATCCAGTGACTTCAAGCTTTGCCGCTGTCTGTGTAGAGTTGCCTTCCTTGGCTGCTTGTTTATGACACCAGGTTATATAACACAAGGGTATGTTTGACTAGGGTATATCACACTATGGTATATCACTTCAGGATATATAACACCAGGATATATCATGCCAGGGTATGTTTGACCATATCACACATTGGTATATCATTTCAGGATATTTAACACCAGGATATATCATGCCAGGTATGTTTGATCAGGGTATATCACACTTTGGTATATCCCTTCAGGATATATAACACCATGATATATCATGCCAGGGTATGTTTGAACAGGGTATATCACACTATGGTATATCACTTCAGGATATAGTACACCAGGATATATCATGACAATGTATGTTTGACTAGGGTTTATCCCTTCAGGATATATAACACCAGGATATATCATGCCAGGGTATGTTTGACCAGGGTATATCACACTATGGCATATCACTTCAGGATATAGTACACCAGGATATATCATGACAATGTATGTTTGACTAGGGTTTATCCCTTCAGGATATATAACACCAGGATATATCATGCCAGGGTATGTTTGAACAGGGTATGTTTGATATCAGGGTACACCAGGATATCACACTAGGGTGGTATATCACTTCAGGATATAGTATCACCAGGATATAGTACACCAGGATATATCATGACAATGTATGTTTGACTAGGGTTTATCCCATCAGGATATATAACACCAGGATATATCATGCCAGGGTATGTTTGAACAGGGTATATCACACTATGGTATATCACTTCAGGATATAGTACACCAGGATATATCATGACAATGTATGTTTGACTAGGGTTTATCCCTTCAGGATATATAACACCAGGATATATCATGCCAGGGTATATCACACTATGGTATATCACTTCAGGATATAGTACACACCAGGTTTGATAGGGTTTATCCCTGGATATATAACACCAGGATATATCATGCCACGCGATGTGTTTGACCAGGGTATATCACTTCAGGATATATAACACTAGGTTATATCATGCCAGGGTGTGTTTGACCAGGATATATCACGCTTAGGTATATTACTTCAGGATATATAACAATAGGTTATATCATGCCAGGATGTGTTTGACCAGGGTATATCACACTTAGGTATATTGCTTCAGGATATATAACACTAGGTTATATCATGCCAGGGTGTGTTTGACCAGGGTATATCACGCTTTGGTATATCACTTCAGGATATATAACACTAGGTTATATCATGCCAGGGTATGTTTGACCAGGATATATCACGCTTAGGTATATTACTTCAGGATATATAACACTAGGTTATATCATGCCAGGGTGTGTTTGACCAGGGTATATCACGCTTTGGTATATCACTTCAGGATATATAACACCAGGATATATCATGCCAGGCAGGTTATGTAACACTGGGCTCTGTCACACTTGGTCATATCCAAGTTTATTGGTTTAAAAGGTTCGACTGTTCATGGGTTTAAGTCAGTTTACTTTACTATTTCTGTCAGCAGTTTTCTATTCTCATGTTTGTGTCACAGTGGTAGGCATCCATAACGTAAGTCTTTGAGCCATCATCACTCACTCAGTAATTTTTTTGTTTCAGAATGACAACACTTTTGTGTCAACCGTTCATGAGGCATATCTGAAGAGCTTCAAGACTTTGGCTGGTCATAAGTCGTAGCAGGAGTCATTTCCTTCTGATGTTCCTGCATTTAAAGACTCTCCTTCTGGAGAAATGGAGGAGGAGGTCACAGAGGAGAATATCTCTGACGCAATGGCCAATGTTATGTATGGACTGAGGAGAATGATGCAGGATTTTATGAGTGGTTACCATGATGTACGATGAGAGAACATTTCGCTTGGCTGGTTTACACTGAGCAATGGTCTCAGACAATACTGAATACACTGCTTGTGCAATATACCTTCTCATAGTCAAAGATTGTATGTCAGATTTACCTGAAGCCATGTAAACCAAGTTTAGCTTTCAGAGATACGTTGGTTGGTATTTATTTTCAAGGTGTATTGTTCCCTGCCACAGAGGTGGTACAGTCTTGCTGATAATGTCCTAGTCCGATATTGCTCAATATTCCACAGTCAGTCATATTTAAACCGTTTTGCTATGTCATAATAACATGTCCAACATAGATTTTCCATTCATGTACAATTTCACACTAAGCTATCAATTAGATCGAGCTCATTATTGTATGTAAAGTTGTAACCAGTCGAATATTTGACAAATATCTTACAAATGGACATTTTGGGATGATTCCAATCTCAATTTGGGGCCCCAGTCATCACAAGTGCCACAAATCACTCTCTCACTTAAATAGAGTTTGAGCATGACTTCGTTCCCAACTTTTGTTAAATAATCATGTTATTGTTTAAAGGCTAAAACATTGGCATATTTCTGTCCGATTAGGGTGAAAATGTTAGCATATCATTCCAGGGTTTGAAATTAGTACCATGATAAATCAAGACAGTATTTGACAGATTTGCAGTGTTTCTGACACATAGCATTACTCAGCGATAAGATGTGACGATAGAGGACTGTTTACCTGGTGATTGGATGTGATTTGACAGAGCCAAAATCTGTGAGTGAGTGAGTGAGTTTGGTTTTACGCTGCTTTTAGCAATATTCCAGCAACATCACTGCGGGGGACACCAGAAATGGGCTCCACACATTGTACTCATGTGGGGAATCGAACCCGGGTTTTCGGCCTGACGAGTCAACACTTTACCCACTAGGCTATCTACCCACTAACGACCTCCCACCCCAATAATATAAACACCAGGAGCCTTCCAAACACTGCAGAATCCCAGAGAACAGCTTTTAAAAGTTGCACTGCATACTATTAAACCCGACATTAAAGGTTTAACAATTTCTCAGAAGCATGGGGTAAACAGATTTGGTTCAAAATTGGGAGTGTTTTTATGTATTTCTACCCAATGTGGAGTCAAACTAGTAGTGATGTCATTGCTGTCACCAGTAAACTGTTATATTGTGTTTCATATAATGTGTCTTTGTTTCATGCTTGTTATTGTGTATGCCAATATAATTGTGGATTATATCATTGTACAAGATGTTCAATGGCTGAAACAGACAGCATAAACATATTTGTTATTTTGATACTTTGAAGATATTGTTTTTGTATTTGTCAAACCCGGTCAAATTTGTAACTTCCATGAAACAATTAACTGCCAATCATTTTTAGTTTTGCTTTATTCACTTACCTGTACTGTAAATTCTCAAATACTGGCTTGGTCCAAAGTGTGTTCATTTACAAAGCATCCATTTCTTGCAAAAGGCCAGTATAGATCAAATGGATTTCAGATTTGTGCTGAATTTGTGATTGGTTCCTGACCTTCATACTTCTGACCAGTTTGGTTGATTTTCATATGACTTCCACAAATATGTTTTAACTTGTGGCAATAAAGCAATGTTGGGCCTTGTTCCCAGTCAATGAATACATGCAGGGACCAGTATGCTTTGCAGTATATACCGTAAGATACTTTTCAGTCAGGGTACCAGTATTGATACTTGTGTAGTGTATCAGATACCTGTCAGTCATATTGATTGTACCAGTATTGATTGTACCAGTATTGATACTTGTGCAGTATCTCAGATACCTGTCAGTCATATTGAGGGTACCAGTATTGATACTTGTGCAGTATATCAGATACCTGTCAGTCATATTGAGGGTACCAGTATTGATACTTGTGCAGTATATCATATACCTGTCAGTGATATTGATGGTACCAGTATTGATACTTGTGCAGTATATCAGATACCTGTCAGTCATATTGATGGTACCAGTATTGATACTTGTGCAGTATATCAGATACCTGTCAGTCATATTGAGGGTACCAGTATTGATACTTGTGCAGTGTATCAGATACCTGTCAGTCATATTGAGGGTACCAGTATTGATACTTGTGCAGTATCTCAGATACCTGTCAGTCATATTGAGGGTACCAGTATTGATACTTGTGCAGTATATCATATACCTGTCAGTCATATTGAGGGTACCAGTATTGATACTTGTGCAGTATATCAGATACCTGTCAGTCATATTGAGGGTACCAGTATTGATACTTGTGCAGTATATCAGATACCTGTCAGTCATATTGATGGTACCAGTATTGATACTTGTGCAGTGTATCAGATACCTGTCATTCATACTGAGGTAGCATCCATGGTCAGTTCAACTGAAGATCAACCACCGATAATTGTAAAATGTAATCAACATTTTAGAAAACGGAAAGTAACACTTTTCTGAAAAGACTGTTTTAGCCAAGAACCAATCACAGACTGGCATATTGGTTGCCTTCCATGATCAGTATTCCATGCAGTGTTTAACCTGATGCCACGTGTTGCCATGCCCTGTTGCCACATGTTTACACATCGGACAATGTCAGTCTTCAACAGTCGTACCATATCAATGTTATCTGCAGTTACACATACTCACTTGATCAATATGATCTCATGGATGTAATGCATACAGTCGCTATTTATTCATCACCTACTGTGAATGTTCATGATATTCAGCCCCTACTGTGTATATTCATGGTATTTATGTCTACAACTCATGTAAACACTCCTGTCTACTCCAGCATCATTCCCTCATTGTCATCCACCCCTAATACCCAGGTTAGAGTCACTGATACCCAGGTTAGAGTCACTGATACCCAGGTTAGCATCACTGATACCCAGGTTAGAGTCACTGATACCCAGGTTAGTGTCACTGATACCCAGGTTAGTGTCACTGATACCCAGGTTAGCATCACTGATACCCAGGTTAGAGTCATACCCAGGTTAGCGTCACTGATACCCAGGTTAGTATCACTGATACCCAGGTTAGTGTCACTGATACCCAGGTTAGCATCACTGATACCCAGGTTAGAGTCAGTGATACCCAGGTTAGTGTCACTGATACCCAGGTTAGTGTCACTGATACCCAGGTTAGTGTCACTGATACCCAGCTTAGAGTTAATGATACCCAGGTTAGTGTCACTGATACCCAGGTTAGAGTCAGTGATACCCAGGTTAGTGTCACTGATACCCAGGTTAGCATCACTGATACCCAGGTTAGAGTCACTGATACCCAGGTTAGTGTCACTGATACCCAGGTTAGTGTCACTGATACCCAGGTTAGTGTCACTGATACCCAGGTTAGCATCACTGATACCCAGGTTAGAGTCACTGATACCCAGGTTAGTGTCACTGATACCCAGGTTAGCATCACTGATACCCAGGTTAGAGTCAGTGATACCCAGGTTAGTGTCACTGATACCCAGGTTAGTGTCACTGATATCCAGGTTAGAATCACATTTCTTGAATTTAGGCTTTAAGCGGTTGAGAACATTTCTTGAATTTAGGCTTTGGGTGGTTGAAAACATTTCTTAGGTTAAGGCTTTAGGTTATTTTGCTTTTTGATCTCATGTGAGTAGCATAGTTCTTCTTAGCTCATGGCAATGTGAATATTTCTATTGTAGTTCAAGACTATCAATTGAGGTATTTCTAATTGCATTATTGAAATGATTCCTCATGGGTATTAGAGGTGGTGAGTTCATACATTGTCATTTCATCAGCATGTCGGTGCCAAAGTGGAGCTCGGTGCATTGTGTAGAGAAACAGTGTACATTTTGTGTTTATTTTTGTGTGATATTGTACAGATCAAAATTGTGATACTGTCAAATCAAACCAATGTCTTTAAATTCGTCATAGTATTGTGTTTCTGCCTCATTGGCAGATGATTATAATGGCCATTTGTTTTATTTCTGATTTTGTTCGCAGTGATGATATTATTTTGCAAAGAAAGCAGCAGTTTTAGTTGTTCTTAACTAAGTACAGATTTCCAGTGAGCTTTTAAAGATAAAACACTGCCTGGTTTGAACATGTGTAGTTTGCCTTTGTGGTGATGTATCTAAAGGACAAATTCTGAGTTTATGTAATGAAAAAGTTATTGATGCACAGGGTTGAAGGGCAAGGGATTTCTAGTTGTATGCTTATCGTGAGAAGCCACTAACCAGATTGTGCATGTTATGTTATCCAGATTTAAATAGAATACTGTTAAATGTTTCATTAATCCAAAGTCACTGACAATATAAGAATTAAGAAAATCTTACTTCTAAGACTGCTGGTGGAATCATGGTTATTGTTTCCATAACATCATCTAGTGATGTTTCCCCTGTCATCTTAGCACTAAGACTTTGGACTTTGGATAGCCAGAGCTATGGAAACTGGAGATTTATGTCACCTTTTGGGGGGAACACGTTTTCTGTACAATATTGTCTTGGATTAATAATGCATAAAATTTTAACACATGCTTCTCCAGCCTGTCCACAGCTCGGAATTTGTCTTTGTTGTTGATGTGATACATGAGAATACTGGGGTGGTGATATACATAAGTATTGTAAGTATAATTAGCTGCAAGACTGCAGATTGTGTGTCCCATGACATGATACATCGATAGGATTTTCCCCTCAAATTTTACATGTTAGAAGAACCACTAAATTTACATTTTAATATTTTCAGTAAAGTGCTGTCTTACATTTTAAGTTGTGGAATTCATTTTAGAATGTCTCTCTTTCAGTTTTGCATGATAAACATGATTTATTATTAAATAAGTTTTCGTTGTTGAACTTTTGGTTGCCATGGTTAACTGTAATATTGTGATCTTCGGTTGTGTCCTGTACATTGTCCAATTTTGTACATTGTGTAAGATGGATACAAATACTTAATGATGTTTCAAAACACTTTCTTATAGTTTCAATTGTCCATTCAATATTCCAAGAACTGAAATTTATGAAAGTGCAGTTTGACTTTGAATTGATTGTGTGCATTGAGTAGTTCCCTATCAGTCATATAGAAAGCATCTATTTCCAAATGACACAATCTTGGCTGTTATAAGATGTTGAGTTTGGTAGGTCTATAGTCATCATGGCATGCACATACTTAAATTTTATCTGAATTTAATTCTCTCAGTGAACACAGTTATAATAGTAAACGATAGAATAAACAAAATGAACGTGATATCTTGTGTTGTCTTGTTTTAATGTGGATGAAAACATGGTGAACTTCACTCCAGTTTCAGCTCACTTTGAGGTCACATCAGCTGATGGCCGCATAATTTTCAGTAAGGGAGCATCTATTTAGAGATAAATGACCCTTTAGTGATCTTGCATCCCATGAAGATCCAGGGTAGAATTAGCAACCCATGGAGATTTGTCGTAAAAGGCTTGGATCAGGTGGTCAGGCCCTTCAGTTAATACATGTGATCTCGATGCTCATGCTGTTGATCACTGGTCTGGTCCAACCTTTACAGACCGCTGCCATATAGCTGGAATATTGCTGAGTGCGGCGTAAAACTAAACTCACTCACTCACTCACTCACTCTTGTGTTTCCTGGAAACCTTTTACTTGTATTGTTTTTGTTGTTGTTTAATGTCATTCTCAGCAATATTCCAGCTGTATGACGTCAGTATGTAAATACTCGAGTCAGGGCCAGACAATCCAGTGACTGACATCACTTCTCAGTGTGCAGTCCCCAGTTTTGGAACTCCCTGCCATCTGAACTAAGAAACGCCAAATCCAAAGGCCTTTTCAAGTTTCTCCTTAAAACCCACCTCTTCTGCTCAACATTTCAGTAGGCTTTCAGGAATGTGTGTATATATGTGGGCATGGATTTGGTTTTAACTTTGTCATAGCGCCAGTGAGCACCTGTTGATGGATACCAGGTGCTTTAGAAATCAATTATTGTTATTATTATTATCAATGCAATCGATATGCGCCAACCAAGTCAAGAGTACAAGATCCTGTAAGTTGCATCTTACACAAGCATGGGTTGCTGAAGACCAATCTAAACCTGGATCTTCACAGGTTGTATTGTATATATGTATAAGTATCTTCACAATCAGTGTGCAAAATAGTTTCCAAATTTTGCTAGCCAGTCGGACTAGCCATACCTGAAAGTTACTAGCCCACAAAATAATTCACTTGCCCGAAATGTGAATATAGAAACTAAGCAAAAGATTAAAAATGACCCCATGAAAATTCACTAGCCAGTCTGGCCAGTGACTTGAGAATTACTGGCCCGACTGGATTTTTACCAGTCACAGGCTAGCAGGCCAATGGCTATTTCACACACTGTTTTAAACAAATATACATGATGTCAATCACTAGATTGTCTGGTCCAGACTCACTTGCGGATGCTATGATTTATACAGACTTACTTCACATTAGAGGTTTATCGCGATATCATGGAACGATACGATGCATATCACGATATGCTATCTTCAGTTATTTTCTTTAAAAAAGTGTATTTTGATAACAAGAAACAGTGTAAATTTTGACATAACCGTCAATTTCTGCTGGAATTCACAATTTTAAGGTCAACATATCACGATATGGAAAAAAGTATCGATATATTTATTGTCAGAAAAAGTATCACGATTAATACTAGGATATATATCGTCACAACTCTACTTCACATACATCTGGAATATTGCTGTGAGTGGCCTAAACAAGAACCACGAAAACAAGCCATCATATTGAAATGCAGATAGAACCAACAGATGATTCCTGTGTTGTCTGAATGTAATTTTGAACAAGGAGCATCAGTATTCCAGCCTGCCAAAGTGCGGCATGGAAGGCGACGTGTATGGTTAACTCTGTGCTGTAGAAGCACAGCATGATGACTATTTACAGTTATGGCACTGCAGAGTGAATGCATTGGGTGTGGAAACCGACAGTTTGGCAGACATGGTCTCTTGACGTTTTCAGACCCTCAGGCTGTTCCGAGCTGATGTTGGTAAACAAGTCTCTTTCGTTGTGTCAACAACAACAGGGTACAAGTACACAGGCCAAGGTCGGGAAAAAGACTATGACGTCAGCATCGCCAGATGTGACGTCACGCCACCAAGAATCGATCTGGCAGCCGATCTTCAGCTGAGAGCTGTTTGAAAAAGGGGAGGATATGGGTGGCATTTTTAACGTCTGTGATAAAGTTGAATTTGTTAAATAATAAATGACACTTATATACAGGAAAATGCATGTACGCATGCACACACCTGACTGTTAAGATTTACCCCCAAAGTGGAGTATTTTTTTCAGTTTCTGTTTCTTGGGTATTTAGTACTTTTTTAAAGTGTATCCTCCATTGTTGTTTAAACTCAGAAAACATACAAAGATAAAAAGAGCTGGGATAAGTATAGCTATTGCTGAGTGTGTCCACTGATATAAATATCCTTAAACTGAGAAACAATTTAAGATACACGAGTCTGGAAAATTCGGAAAATGGAAATATTGTGTAAGGTTCAAAGCCTTTTCCACCCCTTAAATTTATCTTGTGTTTTTTATTAAATTACTTTAATTGAATTGTGTATGTCATTATGTAAACAATTAGTTAATTATAAAATATAAAAATATGCACCTGTGCATGCACATCACATGGTTTCTCTCTGAATGAAGTTTTCCGACGATGTAGAATGGGCTATAAGTGTAGAATAGTCATGAATATTCATCAGTGGGCGGAGATTATATGACAGACGCTCACCTGAAGATTTCTTATTAAGTTTCCCAATATATCATATTGGCATGATTTTATAATTGACAAAGCAGTAATCTATCTAAGACACAAGAATAGGATGCTCATTAGTATATTAAAAAACAAATTAAGTTAAAACGTACAGTGTACATTAGGTATGAGACAAGAACTGGCTGCCACATTGGAGAACAGTTCGCAAAAGTTGAAATTTGATGAAAATTCGAAAGTCATATTTTTATCTTTAAGATCAGCTTAAATTTCTCAGAGATTTCGTTTAAGAAAATGTGTATTTTATTCCCCATTTGATAAGATGAAAAACACTAAAATACAAGTACGCATGCGCAGACGCGACGTGTTCAAAGTAATCCAATAAGTGATATTTTTTCCGTTTTTGCCACTGGTGTCTTTGATTGTTTTAAAGTGTATCCTGCATTTCTGTTTCGAACTCGGAAAATATACACGATCAAAAGACTTATGATGAGTGTAGATTTGGGTAAGTGTATCCACTGATACATTTATCCTGAAATCTGTGTACAATTTAAAATCAGGGCAGCCAACCACAGGAATCGGCAAAATGGGCCAAAAACAGAAATATTGTGAAAAGGTTCAAAGCCTTTTTCATTCCTTAAAATTAACTTGTGTATGTCATTATGTACACAATGAGCTAAAATATAGAAATATGCATCTGCCCATATCCACAAGCACATTTTAAGGTCTACCTCTAAATGAAGTTTTCCGACGCTAACCTGTAGATTTCTTTTAAAGTTTCTCAGTATGCACTATTGGCATAATTTTATAATTGACAAAGCGATAATCTATCTAAAACATTCAAATACGATGTTTATTCGTATAATTTAAAAAACAAAAGTGAAATTGTACAGCGTACATTGGGTATGAGACAAGAGCTGGCCGCCACATTGGAGAAAAGGCGCAAAAATTGAAATTTGATGAAAATTCAAAAGTAATATTTTTACCCTTAAGATCAGCTTAAATTTCTCAGAGATTTCGTTTAAGAAAATGTGTATTTTATTCCCCATTTAATAAGATGAAAAACACTAAGATACAAGTACGCATGCGCAGACGCGACGTGTTCAAAGTAATCCAATAAGTGATATTTTTTTCCGTTTTTGCCACTGGTGTCTTTGATTGTTTTAAAGTGTATCCTGCATTTCTGTTTCAACTCGGAAAATATACACGATCTAAAGACTTATGATGAGTGGAGATTTGGGTAAGTGTATCCACTGATACATTTATCCTGAAATCTGTGTACAATGTAAAATCAGGGCAGCCAACCACAGGAATCAGCAAAATGGGCCAAAACAGAAATATTGTGAAAAGGTTCAAAGCCTTTTTCATTCCTTAAAATTAACTTGTGTTTCTTTGATTAAATTGTGTATGTCATTATGCACACAATGAGCTAAAATATAGAAATATGCATCTGCGCATGTGCACAAACACAAACACATTTTAAGGTCTACCTCTAAATGAAGTTTTCCGACGCTAACTTGTAGATTTCTTTTAAAGTTTATCAGAATGCGCTATAGGCATAATTTTATAATTGACAAAGCGATAATCTATCTAAAACATTCAAATACGATGTTTATTCGTATAATTTAAAAAACAAAAGTGAAATTGTACAGCGTACATTGGGTATGAGACAAGAGCTGGCCGCCACATTGGAGAAAAGGCGCTAAACATTGAGAATTCTTGATATCAGCTGAGCTGTTTGCTCTTTGAGAGGGAAAGGATGAGTACGTTTGACCTACTTTTTTCTTTATTCTTATTTGAAGGTTACCACCCATGAAACGTAAAGTATACACTCAATGTGACAATAGCTCAGACACTCCCGTCCGCGAAAAGGCGCAAAAATTAATGATTGCTGAAATGTAAAAGTATTTTCTTTTTGGCCCTAAAATCAACTTATGTGCATTGGCGATTTCATTGGTGGAAAAGTTCATTTCAACGCCTATCGAATAAAATATAATGCAGGAAAATGCAAGTACGCATGCGCACACACGCGACGTGTCCAAAGTAGACATATTTCCAGTTCATATTATTATTACTTATGACTTTTTCATGTTTTTGCTTTCAATATACACTACCCCAAGAGCTAGGATATGTATATAGATTTTGAGAAGTGTGTCAAATTAAACATTTGTCTTGAAATCTAGGTGACATTTTACACCAGAGCAGCTAACCATAGGAATTTGAAAAAGGGCGACTAAAATGGAAATCTTGTGGAAAGTCTACCCGCCGTTTTTGACCTGAAAAGAGATAGTCTTCTTGGAAACTTCTTTACTGGTATTGCGTATATTATCATCTGCACAATAAACTAAAAACATATAAATATAAATACGCCTATGAACGATGGTGGCGTAGTTTAAGAGCTGTCTCTTTGTGATGTCTTTCGACTGCTAACTGTGGACATCATATAAACTTATTTATTTCATATGACCATTGTTTTGTATTCAGAGGCAGTAATCAAC